GAAATTTGTTTTTACAAACTCAGTATAACCAAAACAAAAAACTTTAAATGTTGATATCTTGCAAACCCTTGTGTGCATTGGCAACAATTTCCATACCATGTATTAGTTGAATAGATTTAAAAAATCAAACAGTTTGAAGAGGGCAAGTGTTGATGGTTCCCTTGTTAGCTTAAATACTCTTCACAGATCTTACTTAACCTCTTTGTAATCATTACTTTGTTAAGGTGAGATACTTCATTAATTCCAATGAACCAAAGAGCAATGCTGATGGGAGCATAAATATCCAGCAGGGTCATCTATCTAAAGTCAGGTGTAGATGTACTGGTATACCTGAATGTGTGGATAAAAAAAAAGTGACAGAACTGTCATTTTCACATTCAGGTAAACTGGACAGGCATGTTCAGTTATACCTGTCAGATATACCAGTGTATGTATGCCAGCCTTAATATAATAAATATTATTTTTATTTTATAAAACAATAATAAACTTCATTGTTTGGAAGTCATTTTGTATTTTTAACACAAAGCAAATTTTGTTGGTATTAATAATTCAAAATATTTGAAGAAAATTTTTATTGTACTAATATAATCTGAATATTTTATTAAAAGAATAATTTATTTATAATGTAGATCAGAGATATTAATGAAAAATAATATTTTTGGATCATATTTTTGAATTACTAAAAAGTATTTATATAAGTATAAGCCTAAATCTCTGGATTATTTTTGGGTTATGCTAAAGCTTAATTACTTAATTAAATTAATTACTATTAAAATTTGGCCTAAAGATAAAGTTGAGCCATCTTATATAAATATTAATTTTAGTTGATTCCAGATCAGTTTTGCTTTTATTCCAGAATTTTCAAAATTATTTAATTAAAATATAAAATTATTAATATTTATGTAAGATGGCAGCCAACTATTTACTTTTAGCCAAATTTTGATGATGATTAATTAAATACTAGTTAAATAATTTAATTTAATTCAAATTTACAAACACTGCTCATAAATAATAATCATATAATTATTAATGTTTTGTGAATATAAATTCTTAATATAAATTGTTGTGAAAAATATAATAATAATTGAATTTAATCAAAAAATAAATCTAATAAATTTATATAAAATTTGAAATTTATCAATTAAATTAGAAATTACAGGAAATAATTGAATCATTTCCTTTATTAAATGTGGTCTTCACTTGACAATAATTTTACTCGTGGAAATTATTTTTGTGTAAGCTATAGGTGGACTTCCTTATTAAGTATTAAATACAGTTAAAATTGTGTTATTTTAAAAACAAATCTCAATTTTTAAATCTAAAAAAATAATAACATATTTAAAGTTATATTATATAATTAAAGAGTAATGATTTTTTTCAGGGATGNACAGTTTATATAATCTTCCTCCATCGCCTAATACTACTCATCTCTTCATAAATGGCACCTCGATTTCATCATTTGCAACGAATCATCTTAACAAATATTCAAATCTTTTACATTTGGAAGTTACTCATAGTAAGTTACAAGCCTTGGAATTTCATTCATTTTGCAATTTAACTGAATTGAGAATAATAAATTTTTCATATAACAGAATATCAGAACTACGTTCGGAGAAATTTTGTAGTTTAAAAAATTTAACAAATCTTGTTCTTGCACATAACGATATTACAAATGTGAAGAATATAACTCATTTATTATCGGAATACACACCATCATTAACCAACCTCGATTTGTCTGAGAATAATTTAACAACTATACAAAGCGATGATTTTCAATTTATGAACAACAATAACATTGAGGTTCTATCTTTATCATCATGCAATCTTAATCATATTGATCCGATATCATTCATGAATCTTCAAAAATTAAAATATTTAATACTTTCAAAAAATAATCTAACAATTGAAAATTTAAGTGAAATATTCAGAAGTATAAAAGAAAGTTTTATAAAATATTCAAATCTATTATCATTCGTTTAAATTTACTACAATTTCTAAAATATTTATATTTTATATAAATATAAAATAAATCCCAATAGTTTAGTTTATAAAAACTATAAATTTTGAGTTTTTAGTGAAAAGAATTTTGTTTGATTCAAAAAGCATGTCTTTTTGGGTCAAACAAAAACTTTGTGATAACGATCAAAGTCTATTTGAACATTGAAAATTCAATGACAGCACATAACTCTACATTTATGTAAAAGGATTACAAAAATTTCACATAATTCCCATATTTTTTTAATGTAATTTTATTTTTAAGTCATTTACTTATTTTAATTACTTTAAAATCACTTTTGTTATTTCTATAATTCAAAGACATTTCAGATGTTTGAAATTAAAGACCAAATTTAAAATAACTAAGACATAACTAAGATTGAGATTTTTAGTTTATACATTTTATTTTATTGTATATTGTTTTTGTACTTTTATTCGATTCTTTCATTTTACATTTTCTTGGAATTAAGTTATCACCTGCCTTTTGGTTATTTATTAACATATATATGTTAATAAATAGATATAATAAGATACAATACATTATATTAAAAATAGGATATACATGTGAAAGTCAACTATCCACATACTATTAATTAAATAGAAGATTAAAATAATTAAAAAAATTAACTGAATTGACAATTAATATAAATCAACATCTAAAACCTTATAGTTATTTATTAAAGCCAAATGATATGTAACTATTGAATTTTAGATGTTAATATTTGTGTATGTATGTATACACCATGCTGGGGTAGAAATGATAGCTGGCTGAGTGTCATAGTGGGAGCTATAGGTTGTGGATGCTGACTTGTCTCTAGCAGGTGCCATAGGTAAGGTATGGTTGTATGTAAGGAAGGTATGGTTATATCTATATTAATAGTTCTGGAAGAAAGGATTGAATGAAGGTCTAGGTAGCATAACTGACAATGCAATCACACAGTAAGTGGGAGTTATGGGTTCAAGTCCCACTTCAAGCCAATTTTTTTTTCTTTCAGAATCTTCTAAATTAATTACTAAAATACTAATTTAATTATAACTATTAAATTTAGCAAGAGATGGCACCTAATGCCTCTTCTAGTGCGAAATTACTTAGTATTTAATTACAGTCGACCTCCCCTATAACACTGTTGATTATTCTGTTTTATATGAATTCCACGTTGTACGAGTCACTTAGATTTTACAAATATGTGTGCTGGGCTGTGAATGGCTCACATATTTGTAAAATCTAAGTGACTCATACGATATGGAATTCATATAAAATGGAATAACCAACAGTGTTATAGGGGATTGACTGTAATAGTAATAAATAGTAATATAGCCTGATATAATTCAGCAATCATATGACTTTTAATATAAATCCTGAAATAATTCAGTTATCTTACCTGATTTAAAGAGGATAATAACCAGAACCATGAGTCAAGGTCACCACTCTCTTTTCTAATGTTTGAGAGTGGGTTGTCAGTGGTAGTGATAACAAGTTCCTCTGTGGTTCTTCCAAACTGCAAAGTAACTTATCATACCCTCCAATGACCCGTTCTTTCAGTTTTCTTGACTTGAAAACAGGTACAATATGAGTATTTTGCTGAGGAATGCAACAAGAAATGCAACATATGAACAGGACAGTGGTTCATTTACTATGCATGTATGCAAGGAGGACTGTACTTCAAAGCAATGCTTCTGCAATGCAGAAATGAGGAAATCTTTACATCTTGAAATGCCATGATAGTGTGCCTTGTTCCGTAAATAAACTGAATTAATTAATGAACTTTTAACAGTGGATGAAGTTAAATGATTGTTTACAGTTTCCATGTTAGCAATAAAATTTTAAATAGTTATACAAGCCAAATATGAATAGAAAAAGATAATGTATACCACTGTCTGTCGGCATTACATAAAAATAATTTATTTTGCAAGTACTTTCGACAGTATATAACTGTCCTCTTCAGGCAGAATTGTTCATAGAGAACAAAACATTTGAAATTCAAGAAAAAGAACCCAAACATCAACCAACATTTCTTCAAATTGCTTGTCCCGCATGCACATAGAAAATTTAAATTACACATATACAATTTCCAAAATTATACAATAACACAAAAATATGATATATGTAAAAGAAAAACACCAAGAATAAAATCGGGTTAAAATAAAATACATAAATAATAATAAATTAAACAGTCAATAAACAAATAATAAATGTATAGCAATGCAATGCCACTACAAGGTGTTTTATCAGGCACCAAGTGATTTACAACTTTAGAAGATTAAACAGTGTTCTCCACAACTCAGATATATCTAGTGTGGGAGAGTTCCATCTCAACAATGTTACCATGAAACTGTCTCACACTAGATATACCTGGGTTGTGGATAACACTGTTGGATCTTCTAAAGTTGTAAATCACTTGGTGCCTGATAAAACACCTCGTAGTGGCATTGCATTGCTATACATTTATTATTTGTTTATTGACTGTTTAATTTATTATGTATTTTATTTTAACCCAATTTTATTCTTGGTGTTTTTATTTTACATATATCATATTTTTGTATTTTATATAATTTTGGAAATTGCATATGTGTAATTTAAATTTTCTATGTGCATGCGGGACAAGCAATTTGAAGAAATGTTGGTTGATGTTTGGGTTCTTTATCTTGAATTTCAAATGTTTTGTTCTCTATGAACAATTCTGTCTAAAGAGGACAGTTAGGCCTATATACTATCGAAAGTACTCGCAAAATAAATTAGTTTTACATAAATTTATAGATTTAACTAAAATTGTAGATTTAACTAAAATTGTAGATTTAACTAGTTAAAACTATGATTAATGAAAGGTCTTTGTTAGAAATAATTTTGCCTAGTTAGATTGGATTCTAACAGATTTTTGGTTTTGACTGTAATATATATGTATGACTTTAATGTTAAAATATATTATTATATTATTCATTTATCATTTTAAAATACACAAAAAATTTGTATATTTATAAAAGTCAAAATTTTTTAAAATATTTCTACAGGTGGATTTGCTCTTGTATTTCTTGTGAAGGCTACCAATAATGTGAAATATGCACTTAAGCGCATGTTTGTGAACAATGAACATGACTTGAATGTTTGCAAAAGAGAGATACAAATAGCAGTAAGTATTATTATGAATTATTATTTTTAGTATTCAAAATATTAATTATTCAATTAGATTAAATTACTAATTATCAAAATAGTAAAATAACTAACACATGATTATTGACCATTCTTCTGTGACAAAGTAGTAGTAATTTTTTTATATTATTTATTGTAGCATTGTGCAACAGAAAAATGTTTTTAATTTTTTCTTCTTTTCATGATATGTAACATGTCAGCATTTCACTACTATTCAAATAGTTAGTAATAAATAGTTCTTTAGTACATTTTTTTTTATTCACATCTTTCCAATATTGTTATTCTTGATGATTAAAAGTACAGTGGTACCTCAGGTTACGAACGCCCCAGCATACGAAATTTTCAGGATACGACATGAAATTCGAACATATTTTTGCTCCACGATACGAACAAAAACTCACCATACGACATTACATTAGTTCGCATTTTTCATTTGTTTTTCTTACTACAATTATTTTTTTTAATGTATTACTTGGCTTTAATTTGAGTATGTTTTTCGCGTTGGAACGAATTATTTGGTTTTACATGTAATCATATGGGAAAAGATGATCCACCTTATGACATTTTCATGATACGATCTCAGTTTCGGAACGGATTAATTTCATATCCTGAGGTACCACTGTATTGATTTTGTACAGTATTGGAGTAAGAACAGAACACAAGATCTAAGATTTAGGTTATATGAGGAAGTCATTCAAATTTATTTTGGCTAAATATGGCTTGAATAATATGGAGCTTTGCATTATCTTTATGTAAATGATTATATATTTCATTGAGTTCAGGATATTTATCTGAATGCAGAGTTGCCATAAGTTTAAAACCTGAAATTGGGACATTGTAAATAAAGTAACATTGTGTAGTTGCAGAAAAGGGAGGCTAAGTTCAGAACAAGGTGTGAAAGTTCATACATGGGTACAACTGGTACTGATACAGACTCAATGGTTACAACAAACTGTTTATTTGTCATGAAAGGAGCTTAGAAGATTTCTGCAAACTTGGAGGTTCAATGTCTGTGATGACATCTGGAACTTTCTCTTTTTTCCAACATAGTCTCAAATGAAGGAGTGTCCCTGGTTAGTGAGTTATTGTTTTCCTTTGATGTGTTTATGGCTCCAAGGTGATGTGGTCAACTTCTGGTGATGGGAAGATGCTGATTCAAGGAAGGGAGATGGAGACAGGCACAAGACATTCACACAATAAATGATCCAACCTTTGGAATATTCAGGAGGAGTTGTTGTTGCATCCTTGAATTTTAGGGTTTTTATCATTTTCTGTCCCTGATTTTTCATTCTGATTGTTTTCCTTGTTCTCACTTTCTAAGTGATCACTCACCTTTTGCTAAGTGTAATGGGACAACTTACTCACAGAGAGGTCAAAATTAATGTTTAATCTGATCCCAACTGAAGATGGTTGATCTTACAACTTAAATTCTTATATTGTTTATATGTTCATGTTGTGTTTTTCATTAAAAAAATCGCTTCCTATCTTTCACCTTTTTGTTTTATTAAAAAATATTTAACATGAATTTTAGTGGGAGATGAAGTGGGAGTGTTATCTTCCCAGACTCTCACTATTCTAGTAAAATTTGATGGCTACCTGGCATTAGATAGGCAGTAGCAGTAGCCATTCTGGAAAATAAGTGACTAATTCTAATTAAACTAATTTTATTGACAACAATTATTGAGTATTTTTTATTATTTATTGAACCAATCATACTTGTTTGACTTTCATATTTAAACTAAGATTTTGCTAGAAAGTCCAGCTGCTCCTATTGTGGATATGGCTGAACTCATGATGGACATAATTAAAATTAAAGATCCTCTTAGTCCCAGAGAGTGGAGAATGTAAAAAAAAAATAAATAAAAAATAGAAGCTAGACTATGCCCAGTTGTAATCATTGATCTGTCATCATGAAACCATCAATAATTTTGAAACCACCATATAGCACTACACAGATAGGAGGATCATGTTATTTGCAATGCAACTAGGACACATTTCAGAACCAGTAAAAATGGGGCTCCAAAATTGATTGAACTTCAGTTATTTTTTTTAAAAATTTATTGATTTATAAATTTATCATGATATATTGATGTGTTAATAAATTGTTTTATTTAAAGATTGGTTTTTACAATCAAATATTAAAAACAGGCAAAACCAGAGTCAGTTCCTGGAAATTAAGAATGTCTGATCACCCTAACACAGGGCCAACAGAATATGATACATGCACCACAGATTACTAAAGGCATGCATGTATGGACAGGTGGAGTATGCATGCATATAACATCTGAAGATACCTACTCAGGCAATATTTGATTTTTTAAAATATAAATCAGAATAATTTCAGATAGAAATGGACAAATCAAGACATTCTGAAAAAATTTTCCATTTGGGACAAAGTGTTCCAAATTGGATGATCCCAAAAAAATCAAGATATATGGCAACTCTACCTAAATGTAATTATCCAAATTAGTCACGTGTGTCATTATGTGATTGACTTATGGTTTGATATAACATATTGAGAATAATTATCTCAAATATTAGGCAAAATGATAAAACCGTAATTATTCTGAGTATTGATAGAAAAGTAATACCAAAACAATATATCTTGTTTTGATATTCTGCAAGTCCAAAGTTGTACTTAGCAGTATCACATTCAGAATCGTGTTTCTAAAAACTTCAAAATTAGGATAATGGCTTTAAATGTTTAAAGCCAAGGTTGAGTTAGAGTTGACAAATTCCAGTTTTAAATCTAAATTAAAGTTAAACTATGTGTTAGCTATCTCTTATATTTATGTAAAAATGCAACTCCTATGGTTCTGCAATTCTAGAATTTCTCATTTTTAGAGTTAATTAATCTTAAGCATAAAATAATTTTAGTAAGTTTTCTGTCATATCATTGTCTTCACTGGTGGTAAGCAAGCTCGTATTTAGAGAATGGCAGAACTGTAAATAAGAAATACTGAATGTTGTAATTTTAGCAGTTTTGAAAAAGAATTATATACTTCTCAATTAACTTCAATAATGTATTGATTTTGTACAGTATTGGAGTAAGAACAGAACACAAGATCTAAGATTTATGTTATATGAGGAAGTCATTCAAATTTATTTTGGCTAAATATGGCTTGAATAATATGGAGCTTTGCATTATCTTTATGTAAATGATTATATATTTCATTGAGTTCAGGATATTTATCTGAATGCAGAGTTGCCATAAGTTTAAAACCTGAAATTGGGACATTGTAAATAAAGTAACATTGTGTAGTTGCAGAAAAGGGAGGCTAAGTTCAGAACAAGGTGTGAAAGTTCATACATGGGTACAACTGGTACTGATACAGACTCAATGGTTACAACAAACTGTTTATTTGTCATGAAAGGAGCTTAGAAGATTTCTGCAAACTTGGAGGTTCAATGTCTGTGATGACATCTGGAACTTTCTCTTTTTTCCAACATAGTCTCAAATGAAGGAGTGTCCCTGGTTAGTGAGTTATTGTTTTCCTTTGATGTGTTTATGGCTCCAAGGTGATGTGGTCAACTTCTGGTGATGGGAAGATGCTGATTCAAGGAAGGGAGATGGAGACAGGCACAAGACATTCACACAATAAATGATCCAACCTTTGGAATATTCAGGAGGAGGAGTTGTTGCATCCTTGAATTTTAGGGTTTTTATCATTTTCTGTCCCTGATTTTTCATTCTGATTGTTTTCCTTGTTCTCACTTTCTAAGTGATCACTCACCTTTTGCTAAGTGTAATGGGACAACTTACTCACAGAGAGGTCAAAATTAATGTTTAATCTGATCCCAACTGAAGATGGTTGATCTTACAACTTAAATTCTTATATTGTTTATATGTTCATGTTGTGTTTTTCATTAAAAAAATCGCTTCCTATCTTTCACCTTTTTGTTTTATTAAAAAATATTTAACATGAATTTTAGTGGGAGATGAAGTGGGAGTGTTATCTTCCCAGACTCTCACTATTCTAGTAAAATTTGATGGCTACCTGGCATTAGATAGGCAGTAGCAGTAGCCATTCTGGAAAATAAGTGACTAATTCTAATTAAACTAATTTTATTGACAACAATTATTGAGTATTTTTTATTATTTATTGAACCAATCATACTTGTTTGACTTTCATATTTAAACTAAGATTTTGCTAGAAAGTCCAGCTGCTCCTATTGTGGATATGGCTGAACTCATGATGGACATAATTAAAATTAAAGATCCTCTTAGTCCCAGAGAGTGGAGAATGTAAAAAAAAAATAAATAAAAAATAGAAGCTAGACTATGCCCAGTTGTAATCATTGATCTGTCATCATGAAACCATCAATAATTTTGAAACCACCATATAGCACTACACAGATAGGAGGATCATGTTATTTGCAATGCAACTAGGACACATTTCAGAACCAGTAAAAATGGGGCTCCAAAATTGANACACTAAAATCATTATTTCTAAATCTTTCAAACCACTTCTGCGCAGTCCTTACACTAATTACAGTTTGATTATGAACAGTATTTAATTTTTTGGCTGCATTTGTAGCATTCTCACCACTTAAAAATAAAAAGTATAAAACATGTCTCTTATATTTATCTGTTACTTCCATTTTAACGAAACTAAACAACTGAAATGTTCCCAATTTTGAACAGTATTATATGAATGAGATCCAATTTAACACTTCAGTGTAAAAAGTATCACATTAGACTGGCATTTTTAACAGCAAAACAAGATTTTTCTCAAGATCATAAAATACCCACTAACTTATGGACTGACCTGATAATATTCTTAATGAAATTTGTAAGATCAATAGATTTATACATTTATAATTCACATTTTAATTTATTTGAGGTTTCAAAAAAAGGAAATAATATGAAATTTTAAATAGCTCACTTCAGCTTTAAAATTCTAACAATAATGTTCTTAATTTTAAAGAATTATTAAGTTATTTAGTTTAGCTAAATAGCTCCATATTTAGCTATTACTGTAAAATTCCATACTGATTTCATAAAACTGTGCAATAATATATTTTTGTATTTAGAAGAAACATTAATTAATTAATTCTGATAAACTTTGTCTATTAAAACTATATAATTAATGTTTATTTCTTTAACTTAGAATAAATAAATTCACAAATGTCAGTGCAATAGTGTGTTCCTAAAAAAAGCTTCATTAAAATCAAAAACATTTATACTTGAAATAGAGTTTGAATTGATAATTTAATAAACTGTAAATTTCATAATAATATATTCTGCTATTAAATCAGCATAATATATTAAGTATTTGTTGAAAATACTAATACTGCATACTTTTCTTCAGAATATTTTCAGAAAAGTATCTTTTTTATAGATCTAACAATGATCAATTTCTAATCTCTAGTTTATTTTAATTCCAAATTTTCAAAATCAAACTTTCAATTATCCACATGTGGATTATTACAATATTCATGCATTTTGCAGATTATTCATACATTGTCAAAATATTTTGTCCATCTTATTCATGGACAGTGTAACAAATGAGAAGTTCTATACATATATACATATTAGTGGGCAAACAGTAGGCTTTCAAGATCAGCTGACTCCAAGAAACAGTCTAAAATGTCCACAGGAATTGATTTAAATTTACAAATAAACTTTAGAAATTTATTGATAAGTGTTATTTTTTTTAACATACATTCTGTGTTTTATAAACAGTAGATCTGAAAAAAATATTCTGCTTGTCCTAAAATTAAATTACAGTAATTTGAAAAAAAAACATAAGAATTATACATAGAAATGTAATATTTAAATTTCTTCATGGTATTTTTGAAAATAGAAATTAAATTTTTTTTTTGACTAAATATACAAGGTGATTAAAAAGTCATAGAAATTTAAAAAATTAATAACTCTCAAACTATTTACAGTAAGATGATGTGGTTTTCACAGAAATTCTTAGAAAGAAGTAGGATTTTTTTTAGGTGTAATAAAAATTTTAGTACCAAAATAGTTACATTTCTTGCCATTAGATGGCGCTTGATAAGATTACATAATTTGTGAAGTTGTTACTAGAGTTTACACTAAGAACATTTTTATTTCTTTATTCTTATTTTAACAAATTTACAAATGTTCAACGTGGTGCCCATCATTCATGAGCACAGCTGTTAGGCAAGGTATTACATTATGAATAGCATTAAAGAGCATTTCAGTTGGCATTACTGATACTTAGATGGAGTTCTTCAACATGGCTAATGAAGTTTTCTGATGTCTGTATGTACAGGGCTGGATCATCGCATAGACAAATGAGACAAATGTCTAGGGCCCTGTTTTTAGAAGTGCCCGGTCAAACTCTGTTTTCAAAGGATTTGTAAATAATATAGTTTACTTTTCTGTTGGACAACTGTATATAATAAACAAATAAACAAAAATATATTGCTTTTTATATGGTTATTGTGAATTCTAAAATCTAAAGAAAATGTGTTCTTATGTTTCTTCTTATTGAAAGTAATTCTTCCGATAATTTATAATTTTTTTTATAGCGATAAGAATAATATTAACTACAAGACGATGAGCCTGGTGTTGCCCGGGCAAAAAATAACAACAAAGGGTTAAGATTATTAGATTATTGCGTATTTCTAATCTTTCTATTACATTATATTATAGCTAATTGAACGGCCTGGTGCAGTCATCGGGACAACATACTAAATAGTTAGCATGCATAGCAATGATAAATAATTAATTGCATAGCTGGCGCTTGATACGCCGACAGAGACTGCCCATTTTTTCAGTAGCAGCAGTGGTGGTATAAATAATAAATTCATATCAATAATAAATTCCTATTACTAATAAAAATAATAATACAGTAGAACCTCGAAAACTCGTCCCTCGATAACTTAGCACTCCGGATAACTGGTCCACACCTTGGCAGGGCAAAAAATCCTTAGTTAATTAATTTTCATTATAGACAGCTTTATAAAAGTATAAAAGCTCTCATAAAGTATTTTTCTGAGGTCTGTCTTATCAGGTAAATTACTGTACACAGTGTATTCATTAATTTTCATTTTCATGTAGTGGCTCTATGCCTTCATAAAGGACGTACTTTTCCTTTGTTTAAGGGTATTTGGGCAGTTTATTCTCTGTTATATTCTGTACAAGTAAATACTGTACAAGTACAGTACAGTATTTTCTGAGGAAATACTCGTACTTATTTTTTTTAACCCCATTCCCGATAACTCGGCATTTTCACAAACTCGGCCACCCTTCGGTCCACATTAGGTCGAGTTTTCGAGGTTCTACTGCAAATAAAAACAATAATATACTAAATTATACTGTAAAAATATAAAATAAATTAGTTTTTTTACATTATTTAGTTTTGTTTTATTTATTGTTTTATATTTTTTGTGTGCTCTTTTTCTTGTGGGAGAGGGAGGGGGCCCAGTAAGAAGAAAATGTCTAGGGCCCAAAGTGGGTTAATCTGGCCCTGTGTATGTATACCTTTGACTTCAAGTAGCCTCAACCAAAAGTCACATGGTGAAAAGTCTGGACATCTCATTTGGAAAAAAGCAACTGAGGACATGATTCTCTCCATCGGTTATATGTTATAAGTAGTTGTTTGACAGGGGCAACAATGTGTGGAGATGTCCATCTTGCATGAATGTTAAACAGTTGAGTGCTTGCCTGCTTTCAATTTCCTACAGTGCCATCTAATAGCAGGAAATGTAACTATTTTGGTACTAAAATTTTTATACACCTAAAAATATCCCACTTCTTTCTAAGCACTTCTGTGAAAACCGCATCATCTTACTGTAAATAGTTTGTGAGTTATTAATTTTTAAAAATTTCTGTGACTTTTGAATCACCCTGTACTGTACATTTCAGCTTATGTAACTTGGCACTCTCACTTGCATTGAATTATAATGGAATTGAGCTGTATATATATATTTTAAATGAACTACAAGTATGTATGTATATATATATATATAATATAAACTTGTAGTTCATTTAATATACCCTGAATGGTTTTTTTTTTGTAGTTTAGTAGACTATTTTGGATTATCTGTGTTCACCAGTTTTCAGTGCACATCCATGCACTAATTAGTACAGATAANTAAGTATGTATGTATATATATATATATAATATAAACTTGTAGTTCATTTAATATACCCTGAATGGTTTTTTTTTTGTAGTTTAGTAGACTATTTTGGATTATCTGTGTTCACCAGTTTTCAGTGCACATCCATGCACTAATTAGTACAGATAATTGGGAGTTTGGTGTAATTAACTTATAAAATAAGACATGTTTACTGTTAAGAAGGTTATTGAACTAACTATTAAATAAAAATCATAAATATTGAAATAATTTAACATTTTTATGACTATTTAATTTCTAATCAATACATATATTTTTTTTAACATTGACAGAGTAGTTTGAGTGGTCATAAAAATATAATTGGTTATGTTGATTCAAGTATTAGTCATGTACGTGATGGTGTTTATGAAGTATTATTATTGATGCATTATTGTAGAGGTAAGAAAATATCTTAATTTTGAATTGAAATAAAATATTAAACTACAGTATTTAAAATTTAAAATTTGATCATTTTACATTAATTTAGTAGAATTTATGTAGTTTAGTTGAAAACTTGTATGTCAAATTTCTCAATAAAGTTTTTGATTTTTTTGTTAACTTGCACTTCTGTTATAATCAAATACAATATTTAAATATTTATCTTCTCTGTCTTGCTATATTTTAAAAAATGGACTGCAATTGTTTTATGCTTTTATCTACTCTTTTTATCACACAACACACACACACACAACACACACACACACACTATATATATATATATAAGCTACTTAGCTTAAAATCCACAAGTTCAGTATGTAGTAGTTAGCTTAGAAATGACATACCAGGGAATCAATAATTTGTCACAAAAATTTTGTTATGAGTAGTCTGTATTGGAAACAAGAGGAAAAGTCCATGGAATTGGAGGAGGATGAAGTATGTTTATAATTATGTATTATGTATAAAAATGATTAGGTCACCAAGCGAAAATATCTATTAAAATGAGAAATAACTACTGTCTCTCAGCATTAACACCAATAGACAATAGTTATTTCTTGTTTTAATGAATTGTGTTATGTCTAATAATCATAAAATGAATAGGTCTGTGTAAGAAAATTATAATCAGGATCAGATATTTCCTAGTTCATATATTGATTTGAACTTTTTATTTATTATTGAATCCAATTGATTAGAAGATTTTATCATCCATGTTAACACATATATGATATTACAAATTATTGTAGTACAGTGAAACCTCGCTTAATGAGCACCTCACATAACGAGTAAAACAAATTGTAAACAAATGACTCGCTTAACTAGAGATGTTTGCATAATGAGTGATGAGGAAAGGGGAAGTCCTGGATTGTGTGCATGCTCCATCACTCTGTTTAGCACTTGTTCCGCTAACATCTTAGTGTCGCTTATGATCACACATTTTTTCCAAACTTGTGTTTATACATATTACTTATAAACATCAACAATCATAGCCCATTATATAATAAACATACCAAACAATATGCCAAATTCTTGGGCTATGTAAAGGCTATAAATTATTATTAGAAATTAATTAATTTGACTAGAGGTAGGTAGTTATGCTGCCATTTCATGTTAAATTTAATGACAGATTCCATATTAAATTTTAGAAATGTCTAAATTAAAAATTATTTATTTATAATTATTAAATTTAATACAAGATGACAGCATAACTGCCTATCTCTAGTCAAATTAATTAATTTCTAATATTTAATTATAGTCTTTACATAGCCCAAGAATTTAGCATATCGTTTAGAGTGTTTATCAGACATATTAGCTGTGATTTTTTTTTTTTGTTTTCTGCAAATCGAATCTGCATTCCAGGTTGGTTCATTCTGTGCTAGAAGAAAAGATGATGATGATTCATGCTTGCTCCTTAACAATGTATATTGTATAATTTTCTTTAAATAAATGTTATACGTAAAATATTTGAGAGTTTTTTTTTTTGGCATGGAACACATTATTTTACATTAATTTATATGGAAAAAATTGTTTTGCTTAACAAGTGTTTCGCATTACAAGTAAAATTCTGGAACGAATTATGCTCATTAAGCGAGGTTCCACTGTATAAGAAGTTCATTTTGTTAAGAATTATTTTTTCCAGTAAGAAATAAATAGAACAATAGCTATAAATTCCCACTGTCGTTTGTCTGACTGTCATTCCTTCCTTAATCTTGAGAACAGAATTAGATAGATGGAATTAGATAAAATACAACAAAATTAGATTAGATAGAACAAAATAAAAAAAATCAAGAACAGATATGGAAAGCTTAGGGGTAGGAGATCCCAATTAACTATATATGAATTCCAGTTTGCATCAGAAGTCGTTATTTCAATTCAAAAGTTTTCTCCCTGAATGGAGTTGCATAGATGATAGGCATGATGATGATGATATCAGGAAAAGTATGATACACAGGGGCAAGACATACTAATTTGAGATGGAGAACATATATTTTAATTTAAATATATTAAAAATTGCAGCCCAGCATTCTGTCAATGTCACAATAAAACAATTGTTCATATAACTTAAACGTCTTACTATTCACTAATATTGAAAATTAGATTAAATTGAAAAAAAATTAATTTAAGTAAAATGTAGTGATGGGACAATTAATGGGAATTGGAGAAATCCACATTTTCAGGTATTGGAATCAGAATTAAGAAAATCTTGTCACAATTGCTGATTCTTAAAAATGATTCTTCCACATTTTATAAGAAAATTAATTATTTGTTTCAGTCAAAGATTAAAAATTTCTTAAATTACAATATTAACTAATGTTGACAAAGCAGAGAGTTTGCAACACCCCATACATGAGGTGATGACAGTCATGGCAGACTTTTCTTTCATGTAGTCAGAGTGATGAGAGCTTGCACTTGGTTGGTACTGATTGTCTCCATTTTAGAGGAGATGGGTGTCTTTAGGATTGCCATCCAGTCGGCATTGGGCCGGTTTGACCAGCAATCTGTATTCTGTATATACCATATATTAAAAGTAAAATGTTCTGTCACTGCTGCACACAAATAATGTAAATTTAAAAATTAATTTGATTTATAATTTGAAAATTTTAAAACAATGTTTTAGAAACTGTTTGGTTAACTCTCGATTAAACAGTTTTAATTTTTGAATGAATTCAAAATTTGGTTAATTCTCAATGATATTTGTTCATCTCATTATATCATTTGCCAAACCTCATTTAGTATTAAATATGATGAAGTTAAATCATTTACAAGACAAGCCCATTGCGAGAAGTCTGAAAAAGTGCATCTTCTCATTTACCTTCCTCCGGTCAGTGCGTCAGCCAACAAAACAGTTTCCAAAGACCTTACATGAACTGATGGAATAGTTTGTTGAGTAAAAGGGAATTAGTTGTAATTTCTTTGAGGGTGGTGTTGCAATATTAACTTTATCTGAAAGAAGATTACAAATTTATTTTGTAGTACACAATAAAAGAATGTACTGTATATCCATGTATAAATGGAGAATTTTCACATTTTTTTTCAAAAGGTTGATACTGGATTTTCCAATTGTTTTTCATTCTTAAACTTGTTTAATAATTAATGAATGTACCGTGCTCACAACATAAATCTAATTTTTCTAAACTAAAATAAACTTTAGAATGTATTCAAAAGAATCTAAATTGGGAGTTTTTGGCAGAATCAGGAGAAGGTTTGGTATCGTCCCATCACTAGTAAAATGAGAAACAATTTTATGAATAAACAACTTTAAAATTTATTGGGCTGCAATGTTCAAATTGCAGATCTATAAGTTTCCATTGGAGTGCATCTGATTGTTGATTTGTTCTTTCTTAATCTCAAGAATGCAGTTATATAGATGAAAGTGGAGACCAGATATGGAAAGCTTATGGGCAGGAGGTCCTGATTAACTATACTAACTTTTGGTTTGGACCTGAAAGCACTTTATTTCAATTCAAAAATTTTCCCCAGAACAGAGTTAGATAGATGACTGGTATGACTTTGTTGTTAACAGGAAAAGTATGATGTACAAAGGCAAGATACTAATAAAATCGAGAGCATATATTTTTAAATGAAATTAATTAGAAATATGATTAAAAATTGCAGCCTGTCTTTGTAATGATGTCACAATAAATAATTGCTTGTTTATATATAGGATTAAAATTAATATTTTCACCATTTGCATTGAGGAGCTATAATTTTGTTTATTGTTGTGTTAAAAATCAAAATGGTTTATATTTACAGATATTATTTTTATTTTAATTAAAAAATTCATCAATAACATTTTCATAATTTTTTTGATTATTTGCTTTAAAATTTAGGTCATGTTTTGCAACTTATGAATGAAAGGCTACATATTGGGTTTTTTGAAGAAGAAATATTGCAAATATTTTGTGATTTATGTGAAGCTGTTTCACGCTTACATCACTGTCAGACTCCAATTATTCATAGAGATTTAAAGGTAATTTTTATGAAATTTTCCTTTAAATAATTTGAAACTATTATAAATATAATTAATGTGGTAAAATCTGATAGATATTTGTGATTCAATATTTTTTTTTGTTTTTGGTCAAATTATTTCTAAATCTAGAACTGTATACTGTGTGTGTTTGTTAGTTATTCCTTTAGTTTTTTTGTTGAAGAATTTGAACAGTTTATTAAAAAATTTTCTGTATTTACAAAGTATGGCTATCATCAAAAAAGAAGAGTGTTTTATAACTTAAACAATTGTATATTATTTGTCATATTAATTAAATTGGCATAACAAAAATATAATTATAATTTTTATTATATGAAACTTTAGGGTTTAAATAAGAATTAAATTAATTTAATGTATTCTCATAAATATTTAAATTAGAAGTGTTTATTAAAAATATTTGTACATCAATTTAATCCATTTATGAAGAAAAGTTATTGAAATTCAAGTGTTGTTTTACATGTTTTGAATTTTAATAATTATTACACTTTCTGGAATTTCAATACTTTTGTAATATATTTAAATATCTGTTAGGATTTATTGTTATAAGGATTATTATAAAAATGAATCCTCTTATTATTATTATATGAAAACTATATACTTTTAAATTTTATATTTAACAAAATGCAGAATGTATATACATATATACACTCTACAGTTTTCAATTCCAAGATAACTCTTCACTTAAGGAAAATCTACATATATTTGTGGATAAATGTTTTTTGATAGTTTTGTCTCTTGTTTTCATTTCATTATTAGAAAAAATAATTTAATTATAAAAATTTAATTACTTTAAACTTTTTATAAATTGGAAAGTTTAGTTTATATTGCATATGCACTAATGATTTAAATCAACTTCCTTAGAAATTATTTTTGGGGTTCTTATACATAAAAAAATAATTGCATATTCTTTCTCTCTTTTGTTTATAACTTTCTTTTCATATGTTTGCACTCCAGCATTCTAACCAGAAATGTGGTGTGTACCAAATATAGAAAGTCAAAACAAGCTGCTCACACTGAAAGAAATAAGCAAATATCAAGAGGAAATTTCTGTTTCTGTATATTTTTGGAATTTTACAATATTGAGTATGAGTTGTGGATGATTATGAATTTACTATTCATATCTAGCTCACATATCTGCAAGATGAATCAATGCATCTTGAAGAGAGTCAAATAAAAACAATCAGAATACATGGAATCATTGTATTTTATTTTTTTAAAATTTTTATTACATTATTTTAAAACTATTTTTAACTGTACAAATTTATAATAAATTTAAGTAATTAAAATTAATCAGTATGGTTAGAAATCAAATATTTAGTATTTATAAAAGTATTTTCAAAATGTCTTCAGATTTTATCAGATCAAATTCAGTATTTTTAGAACTTTAAAAAATTATAGCGAAAAAAAGTAAGATCATGCGTGTTATAACGAGTTAAACATTTTATTGATTAGAAATATTAATTTGATAATAACTAAGTCATATGAGAAATAACCCATAAAATTAAAATTTAGTTTTAATGTACATTTTTTGTGTGTATATATGTGTATGTACGTACATGCTATGATTTTTCACTTAATGCATTGTTTAATTCTGTTCATAGTTTTTAGTAAAAAAAAATTTTTTTTTTTATTAAAGGTTGAAAATATATTACTCAGTGATTCAGGTCATTATGTATTATGTGATTTTGGTAGTGCAACAGCAAAAGTATTAAACTCACAACTTCAAGGTGTAAATACAGTAGAAGAAGAAATTCAAAAGTAAGTATTTGTTTTAAATGAATAAAAGCAAATTAAATATAAAATCAGTTAATAATAATTAAAATTTTTTTACTAATTATTATATATAATAATTATTACAAAATTGACATATCAATTATAGATATTTCTGTTTTTACCAAAATTTATCTTAAGTTATAGAAATATTAGATTCTCATTTAATTAATTTATGATAAAGTGTTAATGCCAGTATTCCTAAAAATATTATTACTACAACTACATATAATCTTGCATTTAACATGTTTAATTTTCTACATTAGAACATTTTATCTTTACTTTCTCTGAAAAGTCTTGGAAAAAAGGTTATCTTATTTTGTTCTTTATTAACATCTGAAGAGGAAGTATGTAAAGCAGATTTTAAAAAAGTACTCGGTATGATAATATGGCACACTTCATGGTGCTACTTCTGTTTAATGCTGTCAACCTGGGAATAAGGTTGGCAGCATTTGATTGATGTTGGGATCACAAAAATGTCTGAAACATAGGAGGCAATGATCACATGAGACTTGGGTTAATGACTCACAAGAACCTATTGTAGTGATCCTTGGCAATTGGCCTATGTACAAGTCACAATCAGAATAATTGAGCCAGTTTCAGAACTTTGATTTTACCTTGTATTAGATGTCAAAATGTTGGGCTAAATTTTCCAGTAATTGACATTCAGGTTATGTTTTATAACATTTATTTTTTTTTTTGTAGAATTATAA